CATTCCTGCCCAGGAATCCCCAGTAAGCAACGTTGCTTCAAACTACTGCTTCAGATACGATGACACAGAAGACAGAGGTGTTTGTTTGACTTTTTTAACTATTTGCAAACCATCTGTGGTACTGCTGTACTAGCCTTGTACTTCTACTCAGCTTAGCTTATTGATTGCATTTGCAGCTCTCTTCCCCAAAATGCACCCCTTCCAACATGTGTTTCTTTCCTGAATAGCTGTGAAGCTGATAGCTTATTAAAATTGATGAGGCTCTTTATAAGCACAACAGTTTGTTCAGTTCAGATAACAAAAGGACATTCTATTTATTGAAATGTCATAAAGGTTTTTTTTCCATGCTGGATTTCAGTATAGTACCGTGACTACACTGAAAAATAAAAAAAAAAAGTTATTTCAGACCATTTTGATAACTATAAAAAGGAATTATTATGATGGCATAGCTCTAAAAAATCCTCGATGTTAAAAACAGGTATAATTTTTAACCCATATTAGTGCAGTGAGAAATATAAAAGAAAGCGGGGTTAGTGAGTGATGCTAAATCCAAAGTCCATGCTTGATGCTTCGTAGGGTGTGCCGCCGTGTTTAGTATCAGGGAGAGGAAAATTCATCCCCAGTCTAATTTTATCGAGTCCAAATCATTCCCTCCCACCGTGAGGAAAGGTTACGCATTCTCCCCCTCAACCCCTTTCTAAGAAAAATGTCTCAAGACACAAGTAGAGCTTATTTCGGACTCTGTTTCTACTACTCATCAGCCGAGCAAATCAACAGGCTAATTTGTGGATTAGTTCATCCACAGAGAACTTCAAGTGTTTCAGCTAAGAGGTATGTGAAGAAACAGTGTTACCGACTTAAATTCCTCCCCCCCCTTTTTTTTTTCCCCAAAAACATCTGTCAACACTTATATCTACAGAACACCAGGATGTGCTGATGCATTAAATAGCACAGCAGGTGTATTGGCTCTCGCAGGACTGCTCAGCAATAACCAGATAGTTAACAACGTTAACTACATGATAGTTAACTACAGCACAACATAAGTGCTGTAGTTAATAGGGCAATAATATCAAAACGCACTTGCAGTGCTGACAGTTCAGATTCTAATGAACCATGCACCAGTCAGACACAGGAACATCGAGTAAAAGAATCACATTTCCAAGGTAAGTTCATATTTCTCCTCGTCTCCCCACAAACATGTTAAATGAATAGACTCTAATATTCCAAATTAGCATGTCTCAAAATCCCTGTGAAACTACCGGATGCATTCTCTACTTTAGCTGTATCAGACCAATGCATATCATCTGTCTCCACCTAATTAAAAATAGAAAATAAAACACTTATTCCAATTTACATGACTTTTTTGGTTTTTACCTTCCAGTTGCTAGGTTGTTCAGTAGCTGCTTATCATTTTTGCTGCTTTTGTTTCGTTTTCGTTCCAGCTTGCATTGCATTATTTTTGCAACATCCCACCTAGACTCTGTCTGAAAAGACTTCGCCCTTGGAGGCATTAACACACCCAGAGACCTTTACGGAACTCCTTACGGCCACAAGCTCAGATGACATTCCTCCTTCCAAGGCAGAGAGACTGAGCCCCAAGCACGAAGCCAGAACTCACTCTAACAGCAGAAAATGTCTCATAGAAGCAGCAAATAGTTGATTGAAGAACAGCTTCACAGAAAGGGCGAATAAATAAGCCACAGATTATTATTTATTTAAAAATAATACTAGAATTCCCCTTAAGCATTTACAGAGTTTAAAATTTTACCCTTCACACACCAGGTGTTGACTAAAACATGTTTGTTACAATACAGAATATTAAGATTTCGGCCTCCAAAGCCTTAAGAACAGTGACTGGACTGCTGTCTTTGATGGGAGATTAGTCACTGAAGAAACACAGGTCTGAACCTCAAGTCTCTTGAGAATTTATGAAGATTTATGTATTTACTTACTGTTTCTTAGACTCCAAAGCAGCATGTTATCCTGATCTAATAATAAAAATTGTATTCAATAGATCATAATGCCAGAAAGGTCCATTATGATAATCCAGTGCAATCTTCTGCATAGTACGCTGCCATGGATTTCATCCAGAGATTGCAATGCTCGACTGGAGTTAGAACTTAACCTCTAAGTGCTTTTTATCTCTAGCATCAAACACAGTGCTATAAAACAAAACCCAACAAACATATGCCAAGTTCGCAATTTACAAGTACTCCATTAAAATGTTCTCACTATAAAAGAAAAAAAATGACAGTAAAGCAACTCTTCCTGTTCCCTATACTGGAATAAATCCAGTTATTTTACCACTAGATCTACCTCACATTTAAATTAATGTAAAAGACAAGATCATTTGAAAGCACCGAGAAGAATGATGTGAATACTACTAATTTACAATTCCTACAGGGAGAAAGAATAAAGAAGTTATTTCAAGCTTTTTGCATCCATATAAAACCATTTGTGGTCTTACAACTGCAAGAAAAGCCATTTAGAAGATTCACTGACTTGTGTCAGGTAAAATACTAGTGACAGACTGTCACAAGAAATCACAGGATACCTTCATGTGCAGCTTTATTCAATTTTCAGACTTAAAAAATGCATTCAATTATTGACAGAATTGATCTGAAAGACAAGAACAACAAAAGAGGCAACAGAAGCCAACCCTGCTGTGGCCAGTGACTGCTTGGTATTACGCTATAGAAGCGTTATCATAACTGACCATTTGGTGGTTTGAATATTTATAAGCATTTCCCTGCACAGTCACTCGTGTTTCCATTGAACACCAGCTTCCATTCATTCATTGCAATTTTTCCAAGAAGGAGATTTCATTTAAAAAAAAAAAAAAAAAACTTGATCCTGTTGTGTTGTCACCTGTAAGCTCTCTGTCAGCTCTGACCAGTGGCTGATTAAAGTGACTCAGCCAGCTACTTGAAAGCAGGGAATGACTAAAAGGTGTAAATAA